GTGGTAGTTCCAATTTGTTCTAAATTGTTTCTATTGCATATGCTCTGTTTATTTTGAATATTTAAGGTCCTTGCAAGTTTTTTTTTTTGGAAGGTTATGGTCCTTGCAAGTTGTTTGTGGAAAACTCAATTATTAGGTATTGGTTTCCCTATGATCAAAATTGTGGTTGAGTCGAACTAAACAAATAATTGTTGAATCAATTATGGTTAAATATCTTAAAAGAAAAGCAACATGGGACAAGTAATGTTACCATTATGGGATTAAGTTATTCGTGAGTTTTAGGTTGTAATTAATAATGTAACAGGGTATATTTTTCTTATGACCATTACTACGCAGGCTAACGACCCTCATCACTCCAAACAAAGAGGAAAGGAAAAAAATTACTAAATGGGCAAACTGGAAAAGACCAAGTTGTAGCATTCTTATTGCTTGCATTAGCTGTTTTGCAGCTTGGCATGTTAGTTTTTGCCATGGATTTAGATAACAATAACAGACACTGTAACTACAATGGTAACACAGAAGCGGTGCATAATGGATGTTAGAAACAGAAACTGGAGGTATGAACTTTTTTCCCATTCACACCCCAATAAAAATTTAGATATGCCCATTTTAGGTCCAAAAAAATGTAGAAGATTAGTGATTGATGATGAACATTGTTTCAGATACCTGGTTTAACATATTAAATGAACTTACCTTATTTGTTTAAGTTGCTAATATAGAAAAACAATCATCATCTCTTATTTTCACTGCTGTCATGGGCATAAATTCAATTTAGAAATATGTTCAAATGTGAAGGATGAGTTTTCTAGTGAACATGGATGTGGAAAATTGGATCTGGTTCGGTTTTACACCTAAAAACTTCACAATCATTAATGCCTTCTATGGCACCATTGTTACGACACCGTTGCAACTCGTCACTGTTTTTTCACCTTGTTACGTTGTGGTTACAGCCCATCATGATTTTATGGCACCGTGATGGCCGTTCCAGTCATAAGTTTTTCTTGCCATTATATTGGCCCTTAAGAGTGGTTGGACCTTTTCGATCCTGTAACATAATGGTCATTATGCACCATAGTTTAATCCATTTAAGTGGTCAATAAGGTGCTTGTACATAATTTAATTTTGTTGCTTAGCCATGGAGGTTGAAAAATTGTGGGTCCATTTGGTGGAGCACTTCTTTAGAGTCTACTCATTTAGCACACATTATCATAAAAATTATCAGTCCACTCCATTAAATAAACTAGTTCACACATAAAGACCATAAATCAAGATGATGGACTTTTAGCACTAAGGCAACCATACTTCAAGAACTTGAGGTTAGGCATGCTCAAAGATAACATTGAGATATATTGAACCTAAAAAGGAATGACAACTTGAATTTCCTGTGCAAAGAAAAAAAAAAAAAAAATTCCCTCCCAGCAAAACATTAATTAAATATAACTAAATTGCAATACCACAAATCAGGAATATTTGTCGTCCACTGTTAATTTTGCAAACCTACTGCTCTGATCCTCTAAATGAAATATATCAACCGCGGCCTGATTTCTTAAAATAATCTTTCAACTGTGGCCACGAATACAGATAATGATTCATTGCAGTTCAATAGATATCATTTCAGCTATTTGTATTGGTATTTGTATCTTGTTCACCCTTCAAAAGCAAATGCACCTTCTTTGACATATATGTTTCATTTCTGTCCTAAAGCTGAAAATATATCCTAAGCAAAGTGAAACAACCATAAAAAACAGACATAATAAACTCTATTGTATGAGGCCCACCTGAAAAATTCCAGCTTTCGCCAACTCCTCATGCTCGACCCAAATTAGTCAAAAAGTGGATTTCCTTAATATGCATAATTAACCTACCAATGCAATATTAAAACCCAATTCCAAAGAGAGTAACTTGTAGAGCAGGTTTTACAAAGGGAATAAGAAATAAACTGGAGCTTGTTTACGTACTACAAAATTCAAAGATCTAAAAAAAAAAAAATTGATTCAAATAAAACCAATGACATAACTGCATATAACAATGCTAGCATTGACCATACCACTATCTTGATTAAAAAGCAAGATGGCAATTCAGACGATGGATTAATGCTTGTATTGATCCCATGTGATACACTGCTGCTTAAGAAAACATATAATTCATTGGTTTGAGGAGATAAATTTTTAACATGGAGTGCACAGTGATTTTTAGGTCGAGGTAAACCAAATAAACTACTGACAACGAGTTCTTTATTATAAGTAGAGGGTAGAACATTCTGCAATTCACAAAAGGCAGAGAGATGGAACCACAGACAAATTTCGCAAACCTATATACAAAAAATATCTGGTGAATCTTATTTTCTTTATGGTTAATAATTCTAGTGTAACTTCACCACCAACTGCTCCTACCATTCATCAGAAAGAAAACCACAAACTAACAATTGCATAGGAATGCAGTTACATTTTCAGTTGGAATTATGGTAAAATTAACAGTATAATGCTAAGTATCCTAGAGCTCAAGCTTGTTCATAAATATATGATGAAGAAAGTAAATTTCGAGATCCAATAGTATGTACTTAATTACCAAATGCTAGTATGCATAATGAAAATAGGTTATGGATTTGTAAATTGTTAAATGATAATATTAGGGAAAACCAAACATTTATAAAGCAAGAAGTTTAAATTGAAACCTTATCAACAATCAACTCAACCAATGTGATAGAGATCAAAAAGGGATTGGATGATCTTAAATTTAAGAATTGAATTTTATTATTTGTTTTAGTATTATTTTATTAGTTAGAGAATATTTGTTTGACTAGAAGTATTAATTAGAGTTTGATTAGAAAATTATTATAGAGTTTTAGTAGGATAGTGATTTGAGAGTTTGATCATAAACTCTTTTAGTATTTTGTTAGGAAAGTAGTTTTTATTTTAGTAGGGAACTTTACCTATAAATAATGGTGTAATCCCAATTATTTGGGAAGACAGATTATGAATAAGAATTAAGTATTCTTTGCGGAGATTTGTGTGTTTTTTCATTGATTCTTTGCGAGGATGAGGTAAACCCCTTTCACCTTCTCTTCTTTCTTCTTCTTCTCTTTCTATTCTGTGATTTTAAATCCTTCTCGATCTACATCAATTTGGTATCAAAGTCCAACTTGGATTAAAAAAAAAATTGTTCATCGGCACTGCTCACCAATACTGTTTATTAGTACTGTTCATTGGTGTTGTCGAGTTAAAAAAAAAAAAAACTCTCCCAACAGATTTAAAAAAATTGTAGCAACATCCCAGCTGTTTCATAATTTACAGCAACACCTTAGAAAGTTTCAGAAGTTACAGAACCACCATCAGAAGTTTTAGAAATTGCAGAATCTTTTCCTCAATAGTTCTAGAATTACAGAAACATCCCCAACATATCCATAAAATTACAGAATTATCCCTAAAAAATTTTAGAATTTCCTCTTGATTATGATGATTTTCAATGTCGAATTAAATGTTAAAGTTGAGGTTTTATCCCGAGCACAAGTTGATTCACAAAGGTTATGAATGCTAGACTAGATACAATTCAAGCATCTATCAATTCACTGATAGAACTTGTGCTCGCGACAGTTTGTGAAACCAAAACAAGTGAAGATTTTAACTTTGTCTCTTTAACTGTCAACCAAAAAGTGGTTGAACACAACCTTCCAGTTATACCACAAGTTTCACCACTACAAGTTCCAATCCGATTGAATGGCGATAAACTGAAGTTATTTAATGTTGATGAGCCCAAAAGTTCTACTTATACTCATCCTCATCCTACAACAATTGCTTTTGATAAGCCGATTACAAAGGATGTTCTTAAAGATGAAGTTAAGCAAGTTTCAAACGTGATTTTTTTAGATGAGTTTGCTACTTTTTCGTCAACATTCTTATTATCCTTTTATCTGGAACAAATTGTGAAGGTTATAAAGATTCGAGATATAAATTCCTCCCATTGTGATATCTGAAAATCTTTCTTCTATGCTATCGGGTTTGAAGATGTGTTTCACTATCTAATGTTAATTTTCTTGGAATATTCTTGCTACGACAATTCTTCGGAGAAGAGTTCTTTTTCGGCCGAGGAGAATGATAGAGATCAAAAAGGGATTGGATGATCTTAAATTTAAGAATTGAATTTTATTATTTGTTTTAGTATTATTTTATTAGTTAGAGAATATTTATTTGACTAGAAGTATTAATTAGAGTTTGATTACGAAATTATTATAGAGTTTTAGTAGGATAGTGATTTGAGAGTTTGATCATGAAACTCTTTTAGTATTTTGGTAGGAAAGTAGTTTTTATTTTAGTAGGGAACTTGACCTATAAATAATAGTGTAATCCCAATGATTTGAGAAGACAGATTATAAATAAGAATTGAGTATTCTTTGCGGAGATTTGTGTGTTTCTTCACCGATTCCTTGCGAGGATGAGGTAAACCCCTTTCACCCCCTCTTCTTCTTTCTCTTTATATTTTGTGATTTCTAGTCCTTTTCGATCTACATCACCATGTCATGACAATGCTGGCCTTCAAACCACTGTATCTTCAATGCCTTTAACTTTGGATCCTCCTCCAACTTCTAATTGATACATAAAAACACCATATCAATCCCTTGACACCGAAATGCCCATACAAATCCCGGTGATGACAGTGGGGTCTTCTATAGAACAAGTAGTGCGCCTTTGTATTGAACAACAGTGGATGTGGCATGGAGGGGAGAGGATTAAGAGAGGGGACTTCCCCTCAAATTATTGACAATTACTTCAATTTTACTCAAAAAATGAAATCAATTCCAATTAAATCAACACCTAATTCCAAGTAAATAAACTCAACTTTAAAAAGTAAGAGAGGCAATCCACTTTTGAGTGTGTATGCGCGTGTGTTATTGGGCAATTCAATCTTTTGCCAATGAATTGGATCAAGACCTATTTGTTGTGCATCAGGTAATTCCCCCTTACATCTGAACTATTGTTATCAGTCTATTTTTTTTTTTTTTTGGTATTATAGAATTTTTTTGCAATGTTATACGGATGTGTAGATATCACAGTGTGTTGTGCATGTGGGTGTGTGTGGGCTTTGAGTGTTGTGTGCGTGTTTTGTGTGTGTACAGAGAGAGGGAGAGAGAGATGGACCGAGAGAGACGAAGATAGAGAAAGAAAAAAAGAGGTAGGAGAGAGAATCTCTCGGGGGAGTGTGCATGATAGTGTTTTTCAGAAGGTGCATTCGTGATAGAGTTATGGGGCGGAATTTTTAACTTTGGGTGGCAAAAAGAATTTTTGGGGAAGAATCTTTGTATCACTTGATGAAAATCAAATTAATCTAGACCGTTGTTGTGTTTTGATAAATTGTGCATATTCAAAATGAGTTCTGTTGTATTAATATAGATATAGATTTATATAAGTTTACATTTGTTTTTTGAATGTTTGGATCTTGCTTTACTTTTGATTTGGATTTCGTGGTGGTCTATTTTTATTATAAGGTCACAAAACTGTTAGATACATTGTTGTCATTTATCTACAGAAGGTAGTAAGTTAGTAAAGTTTGTTTTTTACTGGTTTAAGTTTTTGCTGCAAAACCAGTATAAGGGTTAGTGTTGTAATTATACCATGCATGAATTGCTTTGGTTGGCTTAAAAGGTGTTGTGGGAAATTACTAGTAATATTTATGTTATGCTTCCTGTAGTCATGGCTGGCATGGCACCAGAAGGTTCTCAGTTTGATGCTCGCCAATATGATACCAAAATGAATGAGTTGTAAGTCTTCCCTTCCCTATTCCCTTACAAGTTTATTGTACTGGCAGTGGAACTAACCTAGAGCTCTCTTTTCATATCTTCATTTTGTTCTCTATGTTTTTTCCTTTTTTGATAATATGTCCTTATTCCTTACCCTTCAGTCACAAAGATTATGCTCATGTATGGTCCTGACGAATTGTTGTGATCAGACTTGGACCTGATGGACAGGAATTCTTCACATCATATGATGAAGTGTACGAGAGTTTTGATGCTATGGGATTGCAAGAAAATCTCCTAAGGGGCATCTATGCTTATGGTAGAGAGTGTCATACTTTCTCTTCCTTCTTTTTACCAAACCAATATTGGCAGTAATACATGATGAGGAGTAAACATGGGTACTTTCATGCATCCTTAAGTAATTAATGGGTTGTCTGGCGGTTTCTAGCTCCCGATGACCTCTGATTAGTTTCCTTATTTTATCCAATGTGAACTTTTCTACGATTCTTTTGTTGTAGTTGCTATCAGCATTTTCTTAAATGCCTTCAAGGGGTCAGGTGATAAAAATTGATTATTGTAAGTATATCACCAAGCTAGGGGGTTATAGATGGTCTAAAATATGCTACAACTTAGCTGTATGTGGGACAATTAACTAGGGTTTTGTATTAGTTTAATTTTATGTTGTGTGATATCATGTAATCACTGCTTATTATTCTGATGTTTTGAGCCACTGTTATGGAGAAATTAGGGAGCTGAAAGTCGAATCTGAATTTTATGAAGGTTTTGAGAAGCCTTCTGCGATTCAGCAAAGGGGAATTGTTCCCTTCTGCAAGGGTCTCGATGTAATTCAACAGGCACAATCTGGAACGGGAAAAACTGCAACTTTCTGCTCTGGTATTCTGCAGCAGCTTGATTATAGCTTAGTTGAATGTCAGGCTTTGGTTCTTGCTCCAACACGTGAACTGGCACAGCAAATTGAAAAGGTTATGCGGGCACTAGGTGACTATCTTGGTGTCAAGGTTCATGCTTGTGTAGGAGGGACCAGTGTACGTGAAGATCAGCGCATTCTCTCAAGTGGAGTTCATGTTGTAGTTGGTACTCCTGGCCGTGTGTTTGACATGTTGCGGAGGCAATCACTTCGCCCTGATTATATCAAAATGTTTGTGTTGGATGAGGCAGATGAAATGCTTTCAAGAGGTTTCAAGGATCAGGTCCTTACTTTTCCTTTGATGGTTTTGCTTTAATTTTTATTTTTGGGTCATAATTAGCTAACTTGTTCACTTGAAGGCATTGGCTAGTTTGGTCATGTGATACATATGTTTTAGGAAGATTCTCTGTTACTGATTACCCACTATAGGCAAGGAAGTGTGTTTCATTAATTATGTTCTAGAAATTGGTTGGGCGTATTTTGGTCTTGGGTTTATTTAGATATGTTGCGTTCAGGTGCTCTGAAATAATTTGGTGCTTATATGTTCCAAGATCTTTTGCAGTTCTACCAGTTTTCTGTTAAAAAAGTTGTTTGATTTTCTATTCGTGAAATTTGTTTTCCCAGAAAGTTTCTAATGCTGAAAATTATTCTGGTCAGATCTATGATATTTTCCAGCTGTTGCCACCTAAAATTCAGGTTGGGGTATTCTCTGCCACAATGCCACCTGAGGCCCTTGAAATTACAAGGAAGTTCATGAATAAACCTGTGAGGATTCTTGTGAAACGCGATGAGCTCACCCTTGAGGGTATCAAGCAATTCTATGTCAATGTTGAAAAGGAGGACTGGAAGCTTGAGACGCTTTGTGACCTGTATGAGACTTTGGCCATTACACAAAGCGTCATCTTTGTTAACACCCGGCGCAAGGTTGACTGGCTTACTGACAAGATGCGCAGCCGTGATCACACGGTCTCAGCCACCCATGGAGACATGGACCAGAATACGAGAGACATCATTATGCGGGAATTCCGGTCTGGTTCCTCACGTGTGCTTATCACCACTGATTTACTGGCCCGTGGTATTGATGTCCAACAAGTCTCTCTTGTGATTAACTATGATCTTCCAACTCAGCCAGAGAACTACCTCCATCGAATTGGGCGTAGTGGACGATTTGGGAGGAAGGGTGTTGCCATCAACTTTGTGACCAAGGAGGATGAGAGGATGCTGTTTGACATCCAGAAATTCTATAATGTTGTGGTTGAAGAACTGCCAGCAAATGTTGCTGATCTTCTTTGATGCAGTTTTTTTGATTTGCCCGGGCCAAAATTGTCTTATTTGGAAGCTATTTTATTTTTTTATTTCTAGGGGTCTTGTGCTTTATTTTAGTTCAACGAATATTGAACATACAGTTGGGAGATGTGGGCCCTCTGATGTGCAATGGTCGCCTGTCCCGATCTGGATGTAATTGGGATACATTATCACAAATTTTGATGGTCGCTTGTGCAGTGTATGCAGCAAAAGTAACTTGCAAAATCGGATGATATTTGAATTGGTCTCAAGAAGTTTTATACTTGGCTTTTTACTGTGTTGGATTATTGTTGTTTTGTGTTCTTATGTCATGATTCACGGGCCGTACTAGAGCCATTGTCTGGTCTTGGGTGCTTTTTTTAATTTATTTCCTGGTTTGACCGTATTCATAGTCACAACTTCCTCATATTTTGTATTATAATTTTATGCTAGCGTTTTCTTTGGTGAGAAGTGTCAAAGGATGGAATGCTTTGAGTGTCATGTTTTGGCATTTTGTTGCAGATTAGCACATCCATTGAATCATCGTCTGGTAAGGAATCGAGAAACTTCATGGCTTGCATTTCTTTTCGTAGACCTTTTGGTTCCCCCTAATGGTAAAGTTTCCTTCAGCCTTTGAGTTGAAAAAGAGGAGAGAAAAGAAGCAGCAGATGACTCATTGAGTGAGGCTAAATCCAAAAAAAAAAAAAAATCCCTATAGAAAGAAGAGTGAACTAGGAAGTCTAAGTCCAAGGTGAGTGAACTTGGTCTGAAAAGTTATCCTTGTTGAACACTTCTTAGAGAGAGTTCTACAGTGGTAGAAAGAAAAGTACTGAAACTAAACATGTCAAACTCGAGAAAAACCTACTTGAGTCTAAGGAACTTACTTTTCTTAGGTTCGGAGAAGTTAGATAGGATGCTCACTATAAGGAATAATGCAGGTGTTAGAAGAGATCTAGGTCTCACTAGTGATAAGACTACACTATATTACAAAAGCAAAAGTGATGTGCCCTATTGACCAGCCAAAGGACATCCTTTTTAATAACGGTAATATTGGACGAAGTTGAGTTTCTTGTTGTTCCGTTTCAATCTATTTTAGTTAACAATAAGATTTGAAGTTCTCATACTTGCTCTTAGTAACAAGATTTTTCTGGCCGATTAAAGGTTTGAGTAAGATCCTGTTTGTTAAAGCCAAGAAAATTGTTACTTAACAAGTTGAGCATCAAGTCCCCACACATGCTAAAAAAAACGAGATCCACACATTATCAATCACTATAAGAAGTTGGAGTCTAGGCCTTGGATTGCTAAAAGAGTCTTCGTGTTAGCACCTGTGGTTATCATGATCACTATGGTGCATAGTGCAAACTAACAAGGGTTTAGGATTAGGATTGACAATAGAAAGGTAGTCCACCTAGGTAATCGGTCCCAAGCTGTCAGGCATAGGTTTAGGATTGACAATTTCATGACTTCAATCTAGTACCTGAAACTTGAAGATATCGGCTTAGGAAGAGCATGGATGAAAGCCTTGGACTTGGAGACTTCCTGGCAACAACAGAGAAGAAAGAAGATCATAGGAAGTCATGCGTAGTTCTAGGAGTTCACATTTTTAGGCTAGACACACTTCCCTAGGTGCAGACTGGCATGCTCTTTTGGTTGACTTCTGGACGGGGTTGGTTGACCAGACCATTATGCGGGTCGACCAGGTCTGTAGTTTGAAAACTAGTCATTGCTGGCTATTGCAAAATGGCCTTACCTCTCCCACTCATTTTATATGGGATGATTGATGCAAGAGAGTTCCCAAATCACTTATACATATCCCGTGCAAATAAGAAGCATAAATTTGCTAGGTTAGTAAACTAATTCTTTAAAAAGTGTAGATTGTAATAACTCTTATAATAATAATAATAATATTAAAGTTAAATTTTACTAATCAATAAGAACAAACACGTGGTGGTATGTGTTCACTTTGGAAGATGACACAAGTCACCAACATGTCCTTTGTAAAACAATACCAAAGCGAAGGGAGAGAGAGAGAGAGAAAGAAGAAATAAAAAAGGGAATCTGCATAGATCAACGGTGAAACGAACTCCAATAGAGATGAAATTTGATTATGTTGTTCTTGAGGGTGTTTGACAACATCTATGGGATCGGGTTTATGGTTTGGTAAGATCTCTATTGTTAAAAAACCAAACGTTGATTTGTGATTTGATTTTTATGAGAATGGAATGTGTTTTTGACATCTAGTTCTTTGATCACTATGTTGTTCGAATTTGATATTGACAATTTACGTGCAAGTATACACGATCAACAAGTAATAAAGTGATAAATAGAGTATCGTTTTCACAGAGAATTATTACTAATAACTTTCAAGTACTAATTTTATATCAATTCAATTTTATTTAAACGCTTGGAATTGAACTATGAAATGACTAGTTTAAAACTAAATCTAAAATTAATAATCAAAGATTGAAATTACCAGATAAAAGAACTTAAGATTACAATTTTTCCTAATGCTTTGTATAAATCTTTCTAACTTTCTTTCCAGTTAATTAACCAAAATAAGTTGTTAATTGAGAATTCAAAATTATTTATCAAACCTCTTTTGATAATTAGATAAAAATATATTTTTCAATTAAATTACTATATTGCTATGCAAAATAATTTGGAATAGATTCATTAAGTTCAAACTCTCATAAAGGTTACACACGACATATAGGTATATTTCTATCATATACACAAACCCAACTATTCAATCCGAAGAGGAATTAACCAAACGCATGCTATCATATTCAGATCTATCCCTAAAATTCATCTTCCAATTTCATCTAAGAAATCAAATTAATTGCTGGCCACATAATCATATATTAAGCACAAAATATGATAAACAACTTATATATGATCAATAAAAACTATAAACGAGAGTAGATCAATTTAACTAAACATCAGGTTCTGTTGCAACCTTAATAAAAATTTAGTTCATAACGTAATTGAAAGACTTCATTATAAAATTCATCAACATCTTAGAAAATCAAAAACTAAAAGTAGGAGAAAAGAATGATAACTTAATTACAATTTTCAATCTTTCTCTAGCCTTCAAGTCTAATCTTCTTTGTGTTGCTTCATTCGATCCTTGCCTTCAATTTACTATCAATCCTTGGTTAACCCTCTATTACCAACCCCTCATATCAGTATATTTCTGTCCTAACTCAAACCCTAGGATATATTTAGCATTAGAGACCAATTTTGACTAAAAAAATAAGTCAGAATTTGCGTCCACATTAAACCAGGCGCTGCAGCCCCTAAAATCAGCGTAGGGGCGTTGACTTTTTGCCCTTCTAGAGCTGCAGCGCTGCATGTAGAGCTGCGACGTTGATCCCATTTTATGCCCACAACTGCCCTTGTTGCTCAGTCTTCAAATAATCCAACACTTAGGCTACCAAATGACCTTATTTCCTTCCAAATGATCATGTTTTCTTCCAAATGATGATCCCTACAAAATAACATTAAAACACAAAAAATGAATAAAAATGAACATAAAATACTTGAAAACTTACAATTTTATCAAGTCAAGAGTACTCAATTCGTAGGTATAAAACTCATTCATCAAATACCCCTAAACTTAAAATCTTTGCTCGTCCTCAAGCAAAGTACTAAGAATAAAAACTATAAAAATTAATCCTAACAACCAACTATTCAAGCAATGGATCAATTTGAATCTGAATAATGGCCCCAAAAGTTACTACAAAAAATTAATTCACGGGAAACTTCAAAACAGTGCAGAGTCTAACAATTCAACATACTCCTTAATTTTACCTTCGCTAATGATCCTTTAAATACATATACATATCCAAACTGTTCAAGCTAGTCATCACCCAAATACATTTACTTAATCAAACGTTCCATAGGAGATACTCAATATCAACTCTATGAACTTACGTTTAACATTAACCTCTGCTTATTAAGGCAAAACATATAACTAGAAGGTGCAAAGACTTTTTTTCCATCTTAATATCTCTTTTTTTTTCCTCTTTTTATTCGTTTGGTGAGTGCATTTTATGCTCCATCTCACCTCTTATTGAGCGAGTGCATTTTACACTCCATCTTGCATTTTCTTGAATGAGTGCGTTTTACACTCCATCTCATTCTTAGCATGTGTTTATAAGTGAGTGCGTTTTACGCTCCATCTCTACTCACCACATGCCCCTTTCTTGTTTATTGTTTTCCTATTTTTTTTCTTCTAACTTATGAAGGATCAAATCAAAATAATTTTTAAAAAACTCCTTTTTTTTTATACTAACCCATCATAACCACTATTTCCCCCAAACTTATATGAACACCTCAATTTGCTTTGAATGATACTTAAATAAGTTTTTCTAGAGTTTCAATGATATCTTTCACAAGCATTTAACCAAATAAATTCTCTAAATAATAACTAACAAACAGATGGATATGTGCTCATGAATGAAAAGATCACAAATAGTGTAAAACCAACTAGTATGTCAAACTATAGACTCAACATGTTCATCAATTTACCTTGAATTGACAATTAATCCCATTCATCATTGACCATAATCAAATTCAATCAACCCATTGCTCAAGTCATACTACAACATGCCATCTAAATTCAAAACATGCTATCTAAATGCATACCTGATTCAAACAAGAATACACCGCCAAACTTAAACTAAACATTGTCCTTAATGTATAAAGTAGAAAAATTAAGATCGAGGACTTCCCTAAGAATTCGCTAGTTGGCCTCGTCGTCAACGTCCTCATCGTCCGCTGAGTCGAGAGTGTATTTGGAAAATATAGGTGGACTAGGAAACTACAGTGGAGGTGTGCCTGAGTTGAAACCACAATTCCTAAACATTTGGACTAGCGCGAAATTGAATTTCGTTGAGTACTCCATGAATGAGTCCAATCAATGTGCAAGTCGATAATTGTGTCTAGACTCGCGTTGAGATTCCCTATGTAGCTATTGTGTCTCTCTGTATAACTCTTGTGTGTCTCGACGCAATCCTTGCACCTCATCAACTAGGCTCTCCATACGGGATTGAGATGAGGCAGTAGTGGGCTGAGGAGGCTCCGATGGTTCCCCAAAATTTTGAGGCATATCAACCATAACATACCTGACACCCTTATGATAAGAGAAACCACCCTTCCATACCTTAAAGCGGCTAATGATTTGATGATCAATATGTGCTTTCGGTTGTTGAACCAATTCATCGGCACTCCATGTAACTTTTGCCTTCTTGCATAGCCCACAAATTAATGATGGATGAGACATCCCGCTAGTTGAACCCCCCTTAATAGCATGTGTGATCGAGTCTTGAATTACTTGGCCCACATCAATGCTTTTTCCT